CTTCCCCGTCGACGGCTTCAGGATAGCGGATTTCCTCCCCTATTCTGAGCAGACCCCCCAACATGTGAAGGAGGCCTTGGAGGCTATCAATGAACTGAAGTTGATTTCTTCAATCCGGTGAGTCTTACGATGCATATAAAACTACCAGTAGACTCTCGCGTGTGTAGTGGACCGATTGGAACCACCAGCCACCGTTGGGTTGTCAGGTTGACGCCTGAGAAGTTAGATGTGTTCGCGAAGGCCAAATTGGGAGGGATCGCCGATACCACCTTCGTTTCATTATGGCCACGATATGATGACAAAAACGATACGGCCGCGTTCAACACGGACGCATTTGCCAAGCAAACCATCCTGAACGCCTCGGCGGCTGGCGTGGATCTCGGCAAAATTGTTCTACAAGTGAGTGTTGGGCATTCACCACCAGTGTTCAATTATAGTGAGATCCTCTAGTTTTCCGCTCGTTATCTTCTTGCAGTAGTGGTTCCGATATTGCACAACACCGATGTCCCGTCCGTGCCCTTGGAGTTGTAGTTTCGGTCGCCATCTCAGGTGCCTCTTCTGGCTCGAGCTACCTATGATTCTGCCGATGTCGGGTACTCTTTCATGATATACGTATCCCATCAGGACCCGCAGGGCAACGGCAGATACCACAACAAGAATGGGGACTACTTCTTCTTTTCGCAGCCACGTGCTGTCGACAAGATCAAGGTGGCTCACGAGCATGGGCTCCATGGTATTTCGTTGCAACAATCACTACCAGACCAAGCACGGGCTGATCTCTTTCCGTGGGATAACAATTCTCTTTTCCATGCGCTTATCGAAAACATGTAGCCGCATATATCATTGCCTGCCCTGTAGTTGCTCCGGGGGCCCTCTCTGGAGGCTATATCATTCTCTAGCAGCCTCATCATTGATGCTGGAATCAGTCTATCATACGGATAATTATGGATGGTCTTCCCATCCTCAAATACCCGTAGTTAACATCCAGAATCATTGTACGGGTGTCGGCCTGACACTGTCAATTCTGCCACGATATCGTCCCTCCTTTTGCTCAGTGGTCCATGACGTTCCATACTCGTTTCATAGCAATACGTGCGTATGCGCGTGGCCTTTTGTGCGTTTCCCCAATCATTGAGATATGCGGTGCTCTGACGATCAAATGACCAGAGCAATGTAGCCTCGTGATAAGTAACATCGTGATAAATTCCGTGGGTCTATCTGATTACATTTTTCCAAGTTGACGATCGTCGTCACATCGTCAGACGATGTCAATCGTTTCAACCTCTATTTTTCCGGTATGAATTGTGCGGTAGACATTAGGCGAAGTTCGTGAGGTCGTTCTATATTAATATAGGTTTAACTTGATTCGGTCGACATTCGTGGCTGATGGATTCGGATGATGTCACTGACTCGAGCACAAGAACCTTTTCATGGGACCGTAGTCGAAGCATTGGAAGTCTTTGACAAAGTCGTCAGGGCCTGCTTAGCAGGGTTTATCCATAGACCTTTCAGAGATAGGCATTTTTTCGAGGTAATTATTTCTTTTCTGTATTTAATTGGCGTCTTCGGTTGTGTTCAGTTGACGAGAGTCGGGTCATATGGAAAAAGTAATGTTACCGCAGCGGCACATGCCATACCGCGGGGAGGTCCCAATCTGGCACTGCCAAGTTGAGCATAACGACCTGCGAACACGTTGACTCGAGAAATCGAAGGCTCATCTGTTTAACACTCATTGACAATGAGTTATTGTGGCCTCAACCAGAGTGAGTGGTCAAGGGTCATGCTAGACATGCTACGCTCACTGTCCAGAGGTCCAGTGCAACCAGTGCGGGTGTTACTACTAACACCTCACCTCACTATATGGTGTGACCAGCTCGGAGCACCACAGATCTGACTGGCTGGTAGCAGTGCAGACTCCGTGCTGTAGCTGCAGGGATGCTGGGTAGTTAGCACAACTTCCAGCTTGGCCTCTGCTTCACAGCAACATCTCCCTCAACGTCAGGGAATAACTCATTCTCCTCTCAAACAAAAAGGCCAGCCATGCAATGGATAATGAAAGCTCCCCGAGTAAGATAGAGAGCCTGAGTCGCCCAAAGGCTTTGGGCCAAAGCGATGTCCTACTTAATCAATGAGGTGGTACTAACTGCTGCCAATGAACGTACGTGCTGTAGGAGCACGCGTGTGCACGTTGTGTCGCAAGAGCATCTCAAACTTCCTCCCACGTGTGGCAATCCTGGTATGTGTGGTCCACACAGCGTGAATCCCCACGGTCACCCTTCGAGCAAACCTTGGGGGTTTTCTCGCTCACTCCTAGAGCTCTTCTGGCGCCCTCCTCATTTGTCCTCATATCACCCGGGTGTGTAGCTCAGTGGTAGAGCGGCTGACTGCAGATCAGCAGGTCCTCGGTTCAAATCCGGGCGCGCCCTTATATCCAATCAGACTAGATATAAGGGCGCGGCCGTAAATATGTAAAAAATCTTGAAATGTGTAGCAGACTAGACTAGTCTGCTACATATTTTGATCAAGTGGGAAGCATTACGGGCCTGTACGTAGACTCGCAAAGCTACTACGATGTACGTCAAAGAATATCGTAGAATTATTAACCGCTCTTGAGAACTCCTCTATCGTACTTCCAGCATTAGCCTGTCAAGAATTAAGGATTGTATCAAACCCATCCCACCTCGGCGCAGTTTCTTTTCACCTGTTCTCGTGATGTTATGGATCTTTTTTCTCCCTGAATCGGCATTTCTGTTCTCTTTCTTCCCCCTCACTCGCTGCCTCTACAGCGGCAACACAAATTTCGAGGCCCACTAGAGCACCGATGAGAGAACCCAAAAGGCTTAAAATGATATATCCGTAATTCCCTGTTTAGTAGCTCTTCGACGCTAGTATTTTGAACCACCCCATTATACAGTAAGGGAATAGTTCATAGGAGATGTTGGTTAGGCACAGTTCTGCGATCGGAGGACCAACTAATGAAGATCTTGTGCGGTAAGCCATTTGTAGGCTAATGTTAAGTCTACCGGTTTGGCCACTGTTTGTCAAGAAGCCAGATGCTCCGACATTGAGGAGCGCTCGAGCCGAGGCATTGTTACTATAATGCTCATGGGCAATGGCACTTGTGTAAGGTGAGTGCTGTCTCTCTGTCGGTCGAATAATGGGCTACGTTTCGTTCAGGAGACGCCCATTTTTTTGCAGCAAGAACATACCACAACCCCCCCTTCCCAGAATTGGATGCCAGTGCCCCTGCCACTGTGAGAGAGACCATCTCGAAGTGAGAATGGGTGGATGGCAAGCAGTTGAGTCATATTGTACCATCTAGCTAAAAGAAGATGCCAGTCTGAACGTCAGTGTGGCAGGTATTGATGAGTGTAGATCACGACAATGTTCTTCACCAAAGCGCGATGCACATCGCTTCAGAGAAGATGCCGGACTTGGTCGATGTGTGGTCGTGTCCATTGTGAAGTTGTTGTTGCCAGTTACTGTGTTAAGGAGTTACCTCCTAGTAGTATACATGTCTGCGCTCACCACATCGACACTGTCGAAAGGCTGCTGTCCTCCGTGAGAGATCGTTGAGCTGGGTACCGACAGAGTCTTGGTGAGTGCCCAAATGGATAAGTATTATATTGTTCGTTGTAGGATTCATTAGAGCTTGCTGAAATGTATTGACTAAGTGTTCAGAACGTTGAGGTGATGCGGATGAAAAGTAGTTGATCAGGATGTAGCGGTGGTGTGGTATCATATATGCATCCTTCTACGCCGATATGGAGGTAATGACACGGTATGGTCTTAACACTGCGCATCAGGTAGTCGCTCTCTCGTGTAGTGGTGACTCGATAAACTCTGTTGATCCTATAGTCGTATCAGCTATAGGAGGATATATGGTGGCTCCTGTTTTCGTATCGCCGCCATTCGCTGCTGTCACTTTTCTTGTCGATTCCGTTGCCGTCCTTCCGTGTATATATAAATAGCCATGAAGGATCTGATGGAGTCAGGAGTTGATGTTGTGACTTTCGGACAGTGATGGTATCTTGCTGCAATGGTGGGTATTGATTCGAGAGTTCAAGGAGTAGATACTTGCAGTCTGCGAGGCGCCATATGAAGGTTACACAGTACATCACACTCGCGGGGTTCAACCACTGTAAAGAGGTGTTAAGGCACGACCCATGATGCGATTAATACTGATTACTTGAAGGTAATGGATATGACTGGTTGTTGACTTGGGAACTGATAAGATCCTAGCTCTCTTCCACATACTATTAGCTTTTTATCATCATCTGCTTCATATCTTGCCAGTTACACCCTGTCTGTATCTTGTCATTTGGGACCTCATCCGTATCTTGTCATTTGGGACCTCATCCGTATCTTGTCATTTGGGACCTCATCCGTATCTTGTCATTTGGGACCTCATCCGTATCTTGTCATTTGGTACCTCATCCGTATCTTGTCATTTGGGACCTCATCCGTATCTTGCCATTTGGGACCTCATCCGTATCTTGCCATTTGGGACCTCATCCGTATCTTGCCATTTGGGACCTCATCCGTATCTTGCCATTTGGTGTTAATCGTACTTAGATACTGTGCCAGTGGCCCCTTATTCCGTAGCAGCTATCAAGTAAGGGAGTACTATATGGAGGTGATGGTACTCCAGCAGCTGAAGGAGTGTCTTTTAGTGACGCCGTAGATTGCATGTTCAGCCACGACTTTCTCATAGGAAAGGGCGGTGTTCCTGGTTGGGGAATGACGGTCGATAATTTTGTGGCGAAGTGACGCTGTTATTTTTCTTCTCTCCTTGTTTGCAGGTTTTAGTATTTTCTCTATCACATGCCACTCGAACCCATGCCCTACTATAGTGCCGCTGCCGCTATCGGTGGCCCCTTCTCATCGTGGATCTCTGGAGATGATGAAGTCCAGAAGGGCTCATTCGAAAATGCTACTGTAATTTCGTGGCGCGTGACGGTTGATTGGGTGTATGACGGTTGCGTGTTTAGGTTGCGGTTTCATTGAGGAACGGTGTGACGAACATCAGGGAAGGCAAGCTGGAATTTGATCTGTCGAATCCCCACTTCATCACCATAGACGGCAAAAAGTTAGCTATTGGTGAGTTTAGATGTGGGTTATGGGTGTTTCCTCCCCTGAGAGGATATGTATAGTGATACTATGGAAATCTGTAGGATAAACTTCCGAAGTGAGCTGAATAGCTAGTCTTATCGAGGAAAGCGTGCTGATCCAGAATATAGCGTTTGTTTTGTTTTAAAACATCATATTCGAAGATTATAGCCAAAAATATTTTCGTGCATTTTCTGCAACGGAGTTTATCTCATAATTTTCGTACAGATTTGTCTTACCCGAATCATGTTATACTCCTGTTCACACCCGATGTATATATGTTAGGATATTATGAGACGGTCTATATCCCCCTTCATGAAATAGTAATATATTCGTGTTAGTATTAGGGTATAGATATCATCTAGGTATATTATGTTGATACAGTATATAGTGAAGTTGTCCGTATATCGTGTGTTATGGTTGCTTTCTGCTCCTGCTGATGTGAGGTTTCCAAGCTTGCGAGCTTGGCTAGGGCCTCAACGACTAGACCTCAGCTTGAACTAGTATAGGTGACTCTGGAATATCCCTGCTGATATGATGGTGTTAGCGGTATAAAGAATTCAGTATTGCGAATTGGTGTTCGTATATTGGATCTATCACTGAACTCGTATGATCGTCGCCATGATCATCATCACCATAGTTGTCGTTTATTTTAGGTATCGATACTGATGAAGTATTCCTGGAGCATGGTCCGACCTGTGATGTTGTTGGGGAACTCCCTAAGGTAGCTGTCGATTCGGCAGCTGCTGTCGCTGCTCCAGAAGGAACACTCGGACGTAAAGTTCGTATTAATGTGAGTCGCTGAGCGCACGGCGAAGATTCTAAGATACTCATTTTCAGGTAGAGGGAGGTGATGATGCAGTATTCGCGGCTTTGGAGAAACTCGTCGCTGAGGCCAATCTTGGGCCCCAGCCGTCCTTTGATGAGAAGATGGATCAAGCGCTGGATGATTTCGCCGACAAGATGGGCGATGCTTGCGATAGGTAGCTGATGATGAATTTCGTGGCGCGTGACGGAATTCTCTGTATAGGTTGCAAGTGTGGTTGGATAGTTGGGCTGAAGACCCAGCCACTTCGCTCGAGGCGGCAGAGGCTTTGAAGGCCTCGCAGAGAGCTCAGGTGGGGGAGCATATCACTTTGGGAGCTGTCGAAGAGCAAGACCACGAGGATAATGAGGTGAAGAGTGAAGGCACACAGACTACTCATGTTAAGACTAGCACTAAGAAGGGTGGGGAGGACTGGGTTGTACTATAAGTTGGAAATATTCTTCGCTGTGCGCAGTAGGGTTTTCATGTTGATGGAACAGCCATCGATACCCCAGGTTAAATATTCTTCGCTGTGCGCAGTAGGATACTCATGCCTGATGGAACAGCCATCACTACCGTACTTGTTTCTCTACTACTCTGTAGTTGTCCATACTGGTGTTGCTGTCCTTATTGGAGCTGCCGTGTCGGTCCTGATGAGGATGGTGATTAGCATCAGTGTAGGGCTCAGTTATAAACACCACCATAATCTCGTCTATAACTCATTCATAGTGATGATTGTTGTGTGATAGTTGTATCCAATAGCGTCGTTGGATGACTCTCTTGTACGTGGTGGGAGGGTCTGTTTCTGGGTATGTTCAGGCTGGGATGGTATAATGGAGAATCTTCGCTGTGCGCTGAGTGCTGTTGTTGTAGTAGTAATTGTTGTTAATTTTTCGAATTTGAATGTTCTCTGGTCCGATCTACTACAACCATACTGTGAGTGATCACTCTGGTCACCACAGTGGCGATAGGGGCGCCTCTCGCCCTTATCCAGGCGACCTGTCGTCGCAGTATGCCATGAAATATGGTTGGAGTATCATTGATGATGTTAAGGTTAGTGATGTTATCTGTGTGCATGCGTGCTGATAGTTGTACCATCTTTCTGTCAGATTTCTACCTTCGTTGGACACACGTTGTCCGGGTCCCGTAGAGGGACTGTTTGTGTTAATACTGCCGAACCTCGTACTATGCTTTTTGAAGGTCGGCGCTTCGGAATAGGTGAGTATCGGCGTGGGCAGCGTCCGGACATGATATGAATCTTTTATAGCTAACCTGTTGGATATTCGTTGTTCTCCTTATTGTAGTTGTGCTACAGTCAATTTATCATGCGACTGTCTTCTCGGAGAGCTTCATATGATATTTTACATGTCCGACCACATAATCGTATCGAGATCTATCTTTCCCTACATATCCTTTAGCCGCCTGGCTAGGCCCAGTATCTGAGGAAGATTTACCTCAGGTCCGGAAGACTATGTAAAAGTCGTCGTTGGGAGATTTGATTCCTGCCCGTCAGACTACCTCCCAACGATCTTGTCACATACCAGATATTCGGATCGAAGATCTACTATTATAAACGTGAGACTCTGTTGAGGAGAGTTTGCTCAGATGGAAAATAGTCGCATCGTGACGTTTTCGCCCGAGTATAAACGTTCAAGCTGGGGAACGATTGTGTACACGGTGTTCTCTCGTAGGTACCATCAAGCACAGAGACTGCTGACTTGTGTCGCATTTTTACTTGGGCGAAGCTTTCGAGTGGTCATACCTACAATACTGGCGACGAAGAAAGTGAAGAAGATGATGTCTCTGGTAGAGTTGCTGAGGTCGCTGATCATATATGCACTGCGTAAGTGAAGTTTGTGCATGCGTGCATACCAACCTGGTGATACTTCAGCGCGACCGAGTGGTTGTGTTACTGGCTTGAGAAGTATCATGGGCCATCGTCTCCATCGTCGTCGTCATCTTTCTCTACTGCGGCCTCGAGAACTCTGGCTAAGTCGCCAGGCCACATTGATGATAACAAGAGTAGCACCTCTGAAGACACCACGATCTCATCATTGACGGGAAGTTGGATAAGTGACGATACGGCTGATTACAGGTGGCCGAAGGGTTTCCCAGGAATTGACTTTTTCTATGTTATTGGATGCGACATCGTCTTTTTGGTAGGGTGAGTTTGTGGTTTGATTCGATAGGTTTCCCAGTACGGCGAGAACTGCGGGCCAAGCACTTCCTAAAGGGTTGAAGAGGTCACCAAGTGGGCGGCTGAGGACTGTCATGGATACTCTCACTGGTGGGTTAACTTTGGTGAATCAGAGCTGTGATGGTATTCTGTGTTCAGATATATCGATTCATGATGTGACTCCCGCATAGGGTCCGCCGCCGAGGCTGGTCGGGATGATAAAAA